CCCCCCCCCCCTTCACATCAGGAGCCCTCTCTTCACATTAGGAGCCCCCTTTTTCATCTGAGTCCTTATTTAACATCAGAAGTCCCCCCTTCACATCAGAGTCCAAAAGTCCACAGCGTGCCCTGTGCAAAATTTCAGGTCACGGCTGAGGAAGCCATATGGCACCTTGGTTGAGAGAGGCTGAATTAATCAGTAAATGCAGACTATAAGTCATCTGATCCAAGACAAGTGTGAATACTTCAGATGGCACATTAAGTACATGGATGAGATATTATTAAGACAGGAGAACTGTTACAAGAAAAGTAACAAAACAGTTGACAATTTGGATTTGGAGGTTGTTCATCCTCAGGTACACTGTGTGTTACTGTAGGAATTCTGTAAAGCCTATATCATTATTGCTGTGTGTTTCCTATCTTCTTCTTCAGTACCTATTCTGTGAGTGATTATTCCAAATAAGTAAATTGGAACAGTTTAGGTTGGTGATGCATTTTAAATCTGCTTCTGCAATTTTTCAGACTTTCGCTGTGACTGTAGGACGTGATTGCCTTTTACAGGAGAGGATGAGCCTTTATGTAATTCATTTTAACAGGCAGATGGTTTGCTAGATAGGATGGCTGGCTCCCTAATGAGATGAGTGGGATTTCAGTCAGTGGAAGTAAAAGGGAAAATAGTATAATGCGGTTTTGCCAGTTTTCCTTCCCTACTTATCTATGTTCCCTCAACATTTGTCCCTCCTTTATACCACATCTAAAGCCAATTTCTACTTTGTGCTGTATTGTATTTATGTATCTGTTACCACTAACCCCACAGTAACTAGTCCTCATTTATGAATCCATTTCCAAATTTCCTTCTACATCTTGCTAGCACACATCTCTGTCTGTTTCTGCCTTTTTCTCTTGATGTGTTCTAAGGTCCCATAATCGGTGTTTATACTTTTTGCTGGCCAAACACAGTCTGATAAGTTGGGTGATATTTGTACCTTTGTCGAGGACCTAAAGTCTATGTGAGGATGAAGTCCACTATAAGATTATTTTTTGCTACCAGTTTGCCCTTCACTTCCTGCACTGCATAAGCAAAAGGAAATGCAATTAAATTTCTCCAAAGTAAAAGGAATTTCCATTTCAGAGAGCTTTCATAGGAAAAGGTATGCCTATTGAGGGTTTTGTTCCTCATGTCTTGCTCTGGTGATGCCTTAAATTTTGGATTTTAGAACCAGTACATCATTCTCGCCTAGGCGGGAATGCAGAGAGGATTCCCCTAAAAAGGTATTTTAAAAATAAATAAATATATGAAATATATCAGATTTTTACAGAGGAGAGGGTTAGGAGTGGAATGACAGAGTGAGTGGGGAGGATAAAGGTCTACTATTACGAAGAAGGGGAAGGGAAAGCAGAAAAGCAACCCTGACCTTGGCAATGTAAGGTGAAAATCCATCCTGA